AAGCCCTTAATTTTGGGCTGCGGCCCGTAATTTTAAGTCCCAAACCTTACTTTTAAAGCACCGGTCCTTAATTTGAAATTAATTTTAGGCTCCATCCCAAAGTTTAGGTTGAAAGCGCCGGTCCTTAATTTTTGGGTCCCGAACCTTTACTTTCGCGCCCAAGGCCTTAATTTCGGGCTCCGGCCCTTAACTATAAGTCCCAAACCTTACTTTTAAAGCAGCGGTCCGTAATTTTAGGTCCCAAACTCCGGCCTTTAATTTTAAGTCTTAAACTACTAAATCCGGGCAGGGGGTTTCAGATTTACGTGTGGAAGTTGGCCGTGCCAGTGCCGCAGAATCGAGACGTAGCGGGCTTCCGAAGTACTATTGCTGCTATTCCCACCACTACGACAGCGGAAGGGGACGAAAGAAACTGAAGTTGCACCACCATGCACCACCAAACACTCCCGCACTGGCGAACGATTTTTCGACTCTTGTTCCGGTCGTCCGATCATCGCCCGGCCGGCGCGGCACAACTCCTGGGAAGGGTCATGGGCAACTCGGAACTCCAGGTAACAAGCACTAAAGTCACTAAAGAATTAAACCCATAAAACCTTTGGCGATCCAAAAACCGAAATCCTACAGCTTGTACTTAAAATCTCAAGCCACTCTCGGATGAAGGTGGAGAGATCTATAGCGTGATCCTTGGTTGCACCGCTCACAAAGTTACTTGACAGAATGAGGATACGGCTGATTTGATTGGCATGACAGAAGCACTGCACTGCTCTACTGCTGACACTAACAGACCTTCTCCAGACATTTTCTCGTGGCATTGCACTGTGCTGTTGCCTCGCCACCGGTCTGCCTACAACACTCACCAACCAGNNGGAGAGTGAGAAGCCTATCTTTGAAGAGTAAAGGGCCAGCTAGCCACCATACGAAGTTTGATTTGATTTAATATTGGTATCTAAATAATCATGCTGGCCCGCTGCTGACACGCAAAACTGTAACGAGGATGAGCACTGGCAGATCACTTGTTGCCTCGATTGCTCTTTCCTTTCGTCTGATTCGACTTGGCCTTCGGATTCGCAGGTTTCGGCGATTTCGGATGCTTGGCAGATGCCTTAGGCTTGCCCTTGGCAGCCGCTGCCTCTGCCCGCTTTCGTGAGCTCTCTTGCATCTGCTTCAGCTGGGCCAGCGCCTTTGACGCCTCATCTGGCTCAGACTGGTCGGGCATCTCAATGGAAGTAGGCTTCGGAACTGGGATCACAGGCATGAGCGACTCCTCGCGCTTATGCTTCGCGGCATCCTTCTTCTGGTTCTGGAGCCACTCGAACCAAAACTCAAGGTCGGCGATGCAATCATCACTGCCAAACCTAGCAAGATTTTTACCGCCTACAAGGAAGGGAATAATCTGCTGAATTTGTTACTGAATCACTGAATCTACTTGAAATGAACCATGAGCTTAGAACTTACAATACAATACAATTCTTAAAATTTAAATGGCGGCTCAACTCCGAGAAACTCATAATCATCGTCCACGTCCAATTCGGTCTTGATATATGACAGGTGCTCCTCGAATTTTGGGTGTGCCCTCGCGCGGCCCAACTCATACTCAACGTCCGCTTCATCCTGCGCCAAGAAGCCATGCAAGTCTGCCGGCACGTCATCGTAGTCGATTCGCACTTTCGGCGGGAGCCCCTTCTGCTGAGTCTCCAACTGGGCCCAAAGTGTCGCATCTGCTTCTGCTTCCTGCTTGGCCCACACGCGATTCAACTCAACTTAACACCGACCCAAAACTACCCCCTAAACCCTAACGAGTGGCCATTGGCAACAGTCATGGCGACCTAACTAACGCCCAACACCTTCGCAAGCCTTAACAACTTGATCGGACTTACAGATGCTCACAGATTGGCCACATTCCACTCCGCTACGCTCCACCCTACACTCACATGGCTCCTGGGCATGGACATCGGGAACGGCTGCTGAATGCTTGGGCTCCGCATCTTCGCCGCTGATTTCCTGCATGGCACTGGTTGGGCCACCGCGTGTACCGCCCCGCCCCTGCCGACCCCCCCACAATACGACAGCTGCCAACCTAAACCTAAACTGACCTAAACTTGTCTAAGCCTATACTACTACAATTCAAGCGGCCAAACCAGGGGGTTGGGAAATATGAAAAATTTGAATCATTCAAATCATTCAAGTGCTCACCCATGTGTTCGTTCCGAACCTGAACTGAATGAAACTGACACGAACCTCCCTGACACTAGGTCTCCTGTGCTTCGCGCTCGGCTGCTGACTGCTTCGGCTCCGCGCCGCTGCTTTCCTGCATTCGTTGGTTGGACGACTGCGCCAACCGTCAAGCGCCCCGATCCCCAGCATACACGACAGCTCAGCCCAGCTGCCAACCTACGTTTGCCTACAACCGGTTTCAAACCAAAGGCGTGGAACATCCTGATCTGAACTGAACCGCCCGAACGACGCGAACCTCCCTAACTACCCACTCCAACATGGGTCTCCTGTGCTGTGGCATCGGCTGCTGGATGCTTCGACTCCGCATTTTCGCCGCTGATTTCCTGCATGGCTTTGGTTGAGCGCCAGTGCGTGAACCGCCCCAATCACCCCAACACCACGGCTATCAATGTAAATACTAACTACCACAGGCGTGGCACATGGCGCTCGTCTGACCCCTGACTCGAACTGCAAGAAATTAACTGACCGGACGTGAACCTCAAAATACTCCCCACCCACCACATGGGCCTCCCCTGCTGTGGCATCGGCTGCTGGATGCTTCAACTCTGCGTCTACACCGGGGCCCACTGCTTGGCAACCCTGTGATGCCGGCGACCCTACCACAACTGACCACAACTGCGTGAGTACATGGCATTGCATAGCGTCAACCTTGCTCCGCTCTTCCGTAAACGGGAAACCGCCCCAATTAATTCCTAGAGCCCAAATGCCCAAACATCACCTTACCATTTCCGCCTAACCCGGGCCTAAACCCTAAACGCATCATTCGCCTGGGCATTGGCATGGGCTGCTGGATGCTGCGATGGCGACTCCACACATTCCTGCGGGCCACTTCTAGAACTCCCAGAACTTCTCAGGCTTACCCAAGCTGGGCCACAACCGCTCAACCACGCCAACATCCTTCCGCAAACCCCAAACCGCCCCAATCCGAAAAACAGACTCTACAGGCATTGACCCAACAACTTCAAAGACCTATAACACTAGCCTGTGCCTGGACCTCTCCTTCAGGTGGGAGGTTTCGGAAGGGTTTGAGGTTTCTAGTTTCTATGGCTGATGAAATCTAATCAAACTGGGCTGGCAGCGAA